GTCTCGAACATGACCTAGAGTTACGACTTTCACGACCAACCGATATCACTACTGACGCCATGGACACGAGATTCGTACTTGCATGACTATCGGACTGTTTTCTATGTTCAGAATGTATTCATACCACGCACGGCATTTTTGTATGTACTTAGCAATGCATGATCTACTTTTGGGTGTCTCTCGAGGGGGATATCATGATTGATGATGGGGACCTGAGAACAGGGGCTGGCGATGAAGGAGAGGCTTGGATAGGCTTGGATTCAGTTAATCAAATTGAAGCAGAGAGTATATAGTCGAAAAGCATGGCAGCAGTGATGATTAACAAGACCGTTGCCATTAATCAGCCCTCCATCATTCGCTGGTAGACACTGGGCTGTTGTCCTAGCCGGGGCGTCTAGCATTCTTGTTCTTGTATTATCATCACCACCAACCCTATACCCATCCACATTATGTCTTGGAAACTCGGTTCTAAGAGTAAGTCCCCCATTATCTCTGCGATATCCCGTATATATCATAATGTTCGTGCAGAGAAAGACTCGAAAGAGAACGGAGTAATCTCCAGATCTGTTACACCAATTCCATCCCGTCCAACTACGCCCAGGCTATCCAGCGATGCTGACCAATTTCGCTCTGGAATGCTCAGAATCCGTATATTCTCTGGTATACCTTGTGTTTCCTACTTGTATCATATCCAGAGGCTAACATATTCATTGCTAGGCCGCGGTCTAGCCCTCCCACCAGGCGCCCAAATCCCAGACGCAATCAAACGACAGCTAGAAGCCAACCCGCCAGGCCGACGGTCTACCAGCAATCGCGAAAGCCTGCAACGAAAACGCTACTGGTGGTTGCCATACGTCGTCCTCGAATTCGACAAGAACGAGATTCTGATTGATGCGCTGGGTGGAGACTTGGCTAATCCGGTATGGAACTACCGCGCAGACTTGTGAGCCATCTTCTCGATTTCTCGAAAACCATCTTGGAGGCTGACAACTTGGGCCGTTAGCGATGTCTGCCGGACGTCCAATATATCCGTGTCCTCGTATCTTCGAACGAACCCTACTCAGGGGGCGGACGATATGGGAAATGATCTCCTCATTGCTCGCGTTGATTTGACGCCTAGCCTCGACAATCAGGTATACCTCTCGATCCTATCGTCGCGAAAGCCAGAGCCCATTGTCACCTTTCACTATCTCTAGCACGCTTCAGACCAATGGTATACTGCAATAGCGGGCGAAGGTGCCTTCCATCTCAACGTCGTGTTCAAACCAAGTCGCAATGAATCCCTCACCATCGACCACTTTGATCTTCTAAAGGTCATCGGAAAGGGTAGCTTCGGCAAGGTCATGCAAGTGCGCAAGAAAGATACCCAACGAATCTACGCCCTCAAAACCATCCGAAAAGCCCATATCGCACAACGCCCTGGAGAGATCACGCATATCCTCGCAGAAAGGACTGTTCTTGCACTCGTCAACAACCCTTTTATCGTTCCCCTGAAATTCTCCTTCCAAAATCCTGACAAGCTGTATCTTGTCATGTCCTTCGGTAAGTCCGCGCATGCTAGTTGCATCACCAACTGTCTCATTCGAATTCATTTCAGTCAACGGCGGAGAGCTGTTCTACCACCTCCAACGCGAGGGCAAATTCGATCAAGACCGAAGTAGATTCTATGCAGCAGAACTGCTGTGTGCACTGGAGCATTTACACGGATTCAACGTTGTATATCGGTAAGTACCACCTCCTCTTCCTCCCACTTGACCGATCTCTGCGGCTATCTGATCTCCGTCCCCTCCGACTAACCAATCCGCCTTCTTGCCCTTCAGCGACCTGAAGCCCGAGAACATCCTGCTCGACTACACCGGACACATAGCGCTCTGCGATTTCGGCCTCTGCAAGCTTAACATGTCCGAAACCGAGAAAACAAACAGTCAGTCATCTCGTATTGATGATCAGCTCTGACAAGCAGATCCTCTGAACGACCTAAATATAACCATTCCGCCTTAATTAACAGCGTTCTGCGGTACCCCCGAATACATCGCACCCGAACTCCTGGAAAGCCATGGATATACGAAAACGGTAGATTGGTGGACACTCGGGGTGCTCTTGTACGAGATGATGGTGAGATCTGCTACCCCTTAAAACAATGTTCATCCAATTAATCATCCTATTCATAGACCGGGCTCCCACCGTTCTACGATGAGAACGTCAACACAATGTACCAGCGCATCCTTTCCGATCCTCTCCAATTTCCTCCGGATATTCCCCAAGAAGCCAGGAGCGTCATGACCGGTCTGCTCCAGCGGAATCCAGCTCACCGTCTCGGCGCTAACGGTGGTGAAGAAATCAAGCGGCACCCATTCTTCGCCAAATACGTTGACTGGAATCTGTACGTCGCGCTTGGTCGTTGCTCATCTCATTCCCTAATCATCGCAATTATAGCTTGATGGCAAAGAAGATTCAGCCACCATTCAAACCTAGCGTCGTATGTCCACTCCCCTCCCGCATTACAACAAAGACTAACTGGCTTCAATTAGGAATCCGTATTGGATGTGGCCAACTTTGATCCGGATTTCACCAACGAGGAAGCACAAGACTCTGTGGTGGACGGCACGGTCTTGTCGGAAACCGTCCAAGACCAATTCCGAGGGTTCACCTACAACCCCGCGAATGAGCACCTCAGCGAGAGCGTCAGCTATCCTAGTGCCATGTAAAAGACAGACCTTGGTTCAACATGCGCCGAAAGCCTGCATTCTTTTCACAGACCCTCTCGCGCCTGTCCCTTCTCATCGCTCGTTAATACTTAGTCATTAAGGCACTTTATTTATCTCATCGCAATGTACGCATCCTGATGTAGCTTTTGTCTTTCTTTGTCTCCTTGCTTCTTCCTTCCCTTTGACCAAATTCGTTATCCCTTGGTGCCGCCTCTTTCCTTATCTATGTACTTATGGTCACATTTTTGGTATACCTCCAACTTGTTATGGTCTGGATTCCACGGTATCAATTCCATTCATCAATCGACTGCTCGCAAGCAAGCCAGTCAGTGTACAAACGTACAGTACAGTGCAAAGAAAGGGTATAGGTACATACAATCGTGATACAATCACGATAATTCGTGACGAGAAACAATCCGCGAGCGAAAAGAACGAAACAAAATAGGACAGGAAAGGACAGGAATAATGGGAAGGAACGTGAGTCGTAAGGAGCGTCACAAGAAGCAGTCGGAGAGAAAAACAAGCAACAGGTCGAGATGGGGATGATAAATTAGCTGTTTGTGGGGGGATGGAGGCGGGCGATGCTCGCTGGCGCCGGAAAGTGGGGTTTCTCTGATACGGAAGATAGGAAAGGGAGGATACAGTGGTACAAAGAGAGAGAGACCATAGCAACCTAGGTTACAGAGCTCACACCTCACCCTTTGAACAAGGAACGAGGTCGAAGTGAGGTACGGATTTTGAAACGCGCACATCTTTTTACCACAGCTGCGATGCAGTCCTCGGCGCCCCACCTTGGCCCATAACCGGTCTTGGGAGAGGCAGCGGCTCAGGCAAGTCCGTGGGCGTCTTCTCAAACTGCCACTGCATAAACTCGCTGTCGCTGTGTGCACCAAACGGTCCGCCGCTCGTCCTCCCGAGTCTGCTTCCGAATCCTCCAAAGGGGTACTTGGGGGAGCTGCTTGTGGTCGGGGAGGGTGAAGGGAAAGATTGAGGGAAAGCTGCGGTGGCGGAGGTGGTAAAGACGGCGCCGGGCAAGGCGTTCGGTGTATAGCGCGACAAGGGCATCTTAAGGATGTGCCTGTTGCCGCGTCTGAACTGAGTGACGGTGTAGGTTACGGTCCAGGCTGTTATTCCGAAACCTGTCAAGGAGCGCGTTGAGTACGGGAAATGGAGGATGAAGGTAAAAGGTAGCGCACAAGTGAGAAAAACGATCCAAACAAACGCTTTAAGCGCATGTACGTCCTTGCACCATGTTCGTCCTTCTTCGAATGCTGTAGACGCAATATAGTCAGCTACCGGAGGGCAGCACATGTCAAAAGGACCTGATACTTGCATTCTGGGATTTCATCGCAGCTCATAGGGACTCCGCCCCATCTAGAGGTCGAGAATGCGTTGAAAGCTAAAGCATGGTTGTTAACACGCGCACGCCCAATACAAAGGAGCGCAACAAATCCACTTGCCCAGCCAAAAGATAGAAAGGACGCCCAACACGCCAGCTTCGGTCTGCGCGTACCCAGTCCAGCAGCGGTCGAGAGCAGCATCGATGGTGAGCCTAATAGTTACAAGCCGCGCATCATATAACAATTAGTGTCGGGAGATCAGCAAGGGCGGTTGGCCTGCGACTCACATAACGAACAACAATACAGTTGTAATGACCGAGATGGCTAGAGGGAACAGGTCGGCGACATCTGTCAAGGAGCACTTCGTTAGCTCTTTACTGAACCAGCTTGGGATTCTCGTGTCCGCCACCACAGGGGCAAAACACATCGCCATTCAACCACACTCACAGAAAAAGTCTGTAAACCTATTGACTTTGGTCGCCAGCCCCAGTACCACAATGTTCAACACGAACAGAACCACTAGATCCAAAAATAATTGGTCAATTCATGGCAGAGTCCGCCGAAAAGTAGCGACGCACCATGGCTAATAACCTTCCGCTTCCCAACCACAGAAAACATCCTTTCCTCCTAAAATTAGCTTTTACAAAGGCAGCGAGCGGGTTAATAGTACAGCAGAGCTCGCGCGGCGAAGCGTCTGGGAAGGGGTTAAAAAGTTGCTATAAGAACAGGGTAAGAATCAGAAAGTGGGCTGGAAGGGAGAACGAGATGCGGTTCATGATCCATCATGGTCGTCATCCTGCGGTGCCTTGACGACCACCTCAAGTGACTGTCAGACTCTGAGTGTATATCACGATTGTGATGTTCATCCCATGTTCATCTTGTTGTATCTTTGTTTTAAAAAGGTACAAGGCAATACGCGGCAGGGACAAAAAAAAGGGACAAAATGAATGAATGCATTAAGAGGGAATCGAACCCCCGGCGGGTCGAGCTTTCACTCGAATGGCAACGACCCAGGTTACCACTACCCCATTAATGCTTGTGACGATGGTCTCACATCAGCGTCCGTGTCGCGTCCCGAAGCTATTCCCTGCCCTGCGCTTCAGCAAACGAACGTCTACGGTCTGGGTTGGCGTTCTGCAACGATGAACAACTCGTCGGATTTTTCGACAATGGCCAGCAGCAGCAGCACAATGCTCGAAGACCTCGAGCTCATCGACCCAAATACAGATGACAGGGCATCCGGCTCTCCCTCGCCCAGTCTCCTGCCAGACGCAGAACCAATGGACGTCGATAGCTCGGTACCTACAATCCACCAACTTCTCTCCTATCCAAGCCAGGATAGTTCCACGAACACAGACTCTCACTCTGACGGCCACGCAGGCCATGCTCACCACCAGCAACAGCAACCTCGAACATTTCTGAAAGACAGACTCTACATTGGCAACCTCCATCCCAGCGTTGACGAGCAAGTATCATTCCTTCAACATACATCATAGTCGGATACTGACTGCCATTATCGCGTTACAGATATGCTCTCCTGTCCATCTTTAACAAATTTGGCAAAGTGACCAAACTCGATTATCTCTTTCATAAATCTGGCCCTCTCAAAGGCAAACCGCGAGGGTATGCCTTTGTGGAATATGGAAACCCAGAGGTACTAGTCTCTTACAGTTAGTTTATCGTCACCAATACTGACCCATTTTCATATAGGAAGCTCAAAAGGCCCTATCCAAGGCTCACGCTAAGCTTCTACGGGGTCGTAAGCTAACGGTCACATACGCCCAGCAGGCTCCTCTAGAACACTACCCAGCCTCCACCGCTTACAGCCACAAAAAGACGCCCACAGAATCATCCCGTCCGACTACCCTCAGCATGATCAAAACAGGATACTCCAGCCGTCACGAACCGTACGTATCCATGTCCATTCCATGCTAGACCTCACACTCACCCACCTTTTATTCAGAAAAACAGCAGACAAAATCGCAGTAATGGAGGCCAAACTGCGGCAGATCGAAGCAAGCCGCCCACCCGACCCAAACAGGCCGACAACGCAAGTCACACCGACGTCCTCCCTTCCACACCACCCATCTCTGCCTGCAAAGCCTCCCCCGCCACTCCCCGCGCACATCGCACGCGCCCTCCAAGCGAGTTCTTCCCATCCTCTATCCAACTCATCTTCACCTTCATCCTCACACCATTCTCACCAATCCTTAAACCCTCAACACACCTCAGGAACAGCTCGCCAAAGTTCAAACTCCAGTTCCAAAAACCCCCTCCCATCTCTCCCACTCAAACCCAACATTCACCATCTACCCTCTCTTCCGCTCAAACCACCCCCTCCTAGCTCCGCAACGCACACACTTCCTCTCAGGCCGTCACATCCAATGAGTACCAGCATGAGTAGTAGTAGTTCATCGAGACCAGCCTCGTCGTCTTCAATACCAACCGTGAACACCGCCGGACTCCCTTCCAAACAGCCCAAGCAAAAACTCGCCGGTGTGATAATCAAACCCAAGAACAAGACTATCATACACTAACCGCCGTCAACTTGAGAATTAATCAATTCGTTGTAATCTTCCACCAATCAACTGCCTTCATTAACCATTAGCACACCCACCCTACTCATTGAACAATCCATGTACATTGCTCCTCCACAGCCAGTCTGAGTACACCTCTTTATCTGGCCTACATACCCTTGTACACTCGAACTCTCAATAACATTCATTTCACACCACTCATGGCACCAGAATAACGTTGCATGTCAAACAGCATATCCATTTCATCCTACTCATAATGGTGTAGTGCGCGTAGAAAAAAATCATATCATCCCCAACAACAAAAAACCCGTCGCTTCTTATACGACAGTGCCAGCGTTTGAGGCAATACGCGGCCAGAGATCGGCCTATAGAGCAAACATTAGTTTTCCGCGTCAACCTCGCAAGAGAAGAGACGTACGCATTCTTTTGCAACAGGCCCAGTGATGGCTGAACCCTTCATTTCACCCTTGGGGTTGACAATGACACCGGCGTTATCCTATGCATCACGTAGATCAGTTTACGATTTCCGAACAGAGAATGAGAAACATACCTCGAAGTACAGGAAGACACCATCTCGTCTCCTCCAGGCCTTGCGTTGACGCACAATGACAGCGGGCATGGCTATAAAGAAAAACAGGACGTCAGTTCCAATTCCATCTCTACCATCCACGCTCCATATTCTTTCCACCACCGCCTGATGAACCCAATTGAAAATTAAGGGACTCACTCTTCTTCCTCAACTCGGGCTTTCCCTTCTTAACTGACGCAACGACCATGTCGCCAACACCAGCATCGGGCAGCCTGTTAAGGCGGGCACCGAAGCCATAAGGCTCGATGATGTAGAGCGACTTGGCGCCGCTGTTGTCTGCGCAATTGAGAACTGCACCGACGGGCAGACCGAGGGTCATGCGGTACTTGGTACCCTGAGCGGCGACGGCTGTTCATCCAAAACGTCCGTAGTGTTTAAATCCAAGGTACCCGGGGGTTGTTGAAGTCGACGGTGTTCGGGAGTCGGTGTAATCAAATGCATGGTGCGGGATCGATGCAGATATTCGAGGTTCAAGGTCGGTAGGGCCGATGTTGCAGCATATCACATCGAGTCCAACCAAACCGAGGCAAAATCCAATTCACAGCATCATCACCACACCCAACACCACCCATCGTCCAAACAGTTGTTCGCACAGATCCAATTATTCGTTCGCGCATAAGTCAATCCAAAGTAGCATTTTGCCAGTCGTCCAAGGGGGAAACAAAACAGCACAAGTAAAACAAACGGAACAGTCAGCATCTCATCCTCCACAACAGCGGGGGATATGATAAAACCACGTACGTTTCGACATTTTTTTACTACAGCGGCTGCGGCGTCGTAGAGGAGGGAGCTAGATGTTCACGACGGCCATGTATTGATTGGATTGTTTGGACAAGGTTTGCCTGCCGGAAACGGCCATCAGGGTCGTGTATAGTTCTTCGGGAGTTGCCGGCTTCACGTCACCGTGACCTCCTTGAGTACGACGCGCTGTCCAAAATCTTTCAATTATCCGTCTGAATTACGGTTCTGTTGTCCAAAACATGCCGGCTTCTCTACCCTGCTAGATTCTGCTGAACCTCGAACACATACCAGGGCATCGTCACCAAACTCGGTTGAATTCATGGCAGACCCGATACGACGGGATAGCGTCCAAGTCGGTCAGGATCTTTTTCCACAAACTTTAAAGCGAAAAGTGTTTCAGGCCTTCAGGTCATGTTACTGTCTTGCTTCGGACTTGACGGTGACAGGGCACCTTGCCATTCTCGAAGCAATTTGGTGTCCTTTCTCTAGCAGATTCAATCCATATCACAGGTGGAATCGATACACCACAGACCACATCCCCTTGTCTTAAGTATTTCCAAGGAGCTCGTGACTTGTCGATCCAACGACTATTCAACGTTCAACAGTCGGTCAGCTCATAGCATCTATGCACATTCTCAGTGCTCCCATCCTGGTGCAGCTCACGCACCAACGTCCGAGATGCCATGCAGCCACTATAAGGTGCATTCTCAGAATCCTCTGCGTATGAATCGAGCTTTTCAACGCAGAAAGACGAATCTTTCCTCTAATAGTTTCACACTGCACAGTCGTATGTGAATTTATTCAGCCCGACAGACACTCGGCGAAAGAGGTCAGTAGACTGGACTACTAAGACCCCGGAAGGCCACAACCCTTTGAAGTTTTACTATCCTTGGACAAGTTCGCAACCAAGATCTCATCCCAAATATCTTCGGAGCCATAAGGAGTCAGGACTTGTGTGCTCTCGCCAACAGCAGTCCCCAAGAAAGGAATAACAACTGTTCGCTAAATCGTTTACAACAGGAGCACGCTCTTCAATCGAATTCGAAGGGGTCGGTTCAAATGTCTACTTGTTTACCCTAACACGGCGGATGAGGAAGATGTTCTCTCGACCAAACAGGACAGCTTTGGTGGATGTTACGCAAACCTCGTTCTCCAATTTATGTTATCCTTGGTAGAAGCGTTCAGAATTAAGATCAATGACGCGGGAAATGTCAGCGGTTTACTCACTTCTCCCTAATCGCAGCAGTGCATTCAGTGGCAACGGGAAGGTAGCGATCGCTCCACTCGGTTTAATGTAATAGCTATATTACTGCATGCCCTAGAGTGACATTGGTGTTCGTCGACATCATATGCCTTTATTCGAATTCAGAAACCTGTCCAAGAAACCCAGGGGTAAGAATGGTGTAGTATCTCTTTGTGCCTATCAGGGATAATATCGATCATGGTTGCTAACAATAGTCGTTATAATACTCGGCATACATTTTAAGTTGCGCCACTGAGCAAATGAAGTACCCTGGCCCAACACACAAGGGTCACGGTGGTCCTAGAGGGTCCGAGTCTATGATCATGAAGTTGACTCGTATATTAAGAGATCAAATATCGTATCAAACCGCCAGCGTTTGAGCACGCGTTTGGGTCCGAGTCCCCATTGAGAAAACACCCTCCCTTATTTGTCTAGACGCAGGCTTGGCAAAAGTGCGTAAGGGTGGACTTTGTTGGGGTAAATATGGACAATGGACGGTGTGCATGACTGGGGCAAGTTGCTGGAAGATGTGATGTTATGAAATAAATGGGCAATAGAAATTTGACCTGAGGTAGCGCTCGCTGATGCGCATTCGGGATGCTCTGAGCAACTGTGGGTAACCTAAGAACACGGTTTGGTGTCATCGCGTACGACTTGTGTAGCCCGTCAAGCCATGCAGCTCCTAGATGATGGTCACAGTATCACATTGCCAACATAGTCGACTAAAGCTCACATTGAATGAACATATGACAGCCTGTAGACCGTGAACCAGGCCATCTCAGATAACGAGGTCAGGCAAGACAGCATCACTACTAGGTTTCGGCAACCTCGATGTGAGTTTGTACCTCGGTCAGAGGACCAAGTGCTCTTACTGATGGTGTTGCCCATTTGCAGTATGCATTTGTGTGAAGAACCACCAGCCTGCG